CTATATAAGCAAATACATGAAATCTTCCAATTTTAATATTAGTAATAGCTCAGTTCTTTTTTTTTTTTTTCTTCTTTGAGACAGGGTATCACTTTGTTTCCTGGGCTAGAGTGTACTGGCATTATCATAGCTCACTGCAACCTCAAACTCCTGGGCTCAGGCAATCTTCCTATCTCAGTCTCTGGAGTAGCTGGGACTACAGGCATGTGCCACCATGCCCAGCTAATGTAGATCAGTTTTATTTATTTTTTTCTTTGCAACAGAGTCTCACTCTGTTGCCCCAGCCAGAGTGCAGTGGCGTCATCATAGCTCACTGCAACCTCAAACTCCTGGGCTCAAGCAGTCCTCCTGCCTCAGCCTCCAAAGTAGCTGGGACTACAGGTACAGGCCACCACACCTGGCTAATTTTTGTATTTTTTGTAGAGATGGGGTCTTACTCTTTTTCAGGCTGGTTTTGAACTCCTGAGCTCAAGAATCCTCCCACCTTAACCTCCCAGAGTGCTAGGATCACAGGTGTGAGCCACTGCACCCAGCCTTGAGTCATTTTTATATATGATGTGAGATAAGGCAGGGATAGTATCTTTAAATAACTTGATATCTTGAAACATCTCATTTGTGTTTCTCACAGCTTTGTATAATTGGATAGGCTATTTCAGGGTTCTGTGACGTGAACTGCTTAACCTTCTCTAACCCACTACTGCCGTGAATTCACTTGGCATTCTCATTTATCCTAAAAGTTGCAACTCAGCTATCTAAGATCTTTCTGATTCTCTAAAAGACTTCTGTTTAGGCACGTCTTTGTCTATGCTTCCATTATACTTCACACTTAGGTTTAACTTAGGAAATATCATTTTCTTTGAACTACATGTCTCTCTATCGATGGTAGTGATGCAGTTTAATTGTACAGCATATACCAAGCGTTTAGTAACTGAAGAGAAGAATTTAGGTTCAGGTTATTTCAGTAAAGTTTGTTTCTCTATTCCATTTAGAATTTGTAGTATTTAGAATCATATAGAAAATTACTTATAGATAAAGTAATTTTTCCATAAGATATATTATGGACATACTGAGAAAATATATATAAAAATAATATTTAAAGTAAAACATCATCATTAATTCTTTTTTAAATAAAAATTATAGCAATTGTGCTTAATTTGGCTGATGAATTTTTTGTTTCTAGCAATATTTGGGAAATTTTATTTAAATATTATACCATGAAAATATATTAAATTTTCCCTAAATAGGAATAGAATTTGTTCATTCAATTTATACTATTGTGTCATTGAATATTATGTGGACTTTGGAAGGCTTTTTAAAATATGGGACTTAATGATTTTATTTCTGTTTAATAAATAGTTAATGTACTTTGCACTGAGCCAAACGTCCTAAGGGATATAAAGATGAGAAGGGTATAAATCTGGCTCTGAAAGGGTGATTCTGTAATCTGCTCAATAGGATTTGATCCATATACTTCCTTTCTTTCTCAGTTTTTATATTTCATAAATTCGTATTGAGAACATTTGTTGTACCCTAAAGTAGATGACTTTTTCTGAAGGAGTTATTGGAACTTAGTAGTAGCTATGTTAAATACTATATAAACGGATCATTTAGGACCCTTATTATTGGAATGACATACAGTCTACATCTTTATAGTGATAGAGGCACACTTTCCAACCTCCTTTTATAGCCTGTGCATATATGAAAGAAATAAAGGATTTCATATTGTGATGGTGTCATGGATTGGATCTTTGAAATTATCTTAACCCATCTTTTTACAGATAAGGAAGAGAGGCCTAAAACAGGATTGCAACTCAAAATTCAGCAGGGATCTTAAGAGTGAAGAGGTCCCAGGTTAACAGTGCAAGCCCAATTATAAATAGCAGCTGTTAGTTGGTCTGAGTTTTGGGGAGACAGTAGGGATTATGGAGATCGAGTAGATTAATTCCTTCCTAATCTAAAGGAAAAAGC